AGTTAGCTTTGACGATTACTGTTTCCACGTCGCTTATATCTTCCTTGTCTGTATATATACAGACTTTTGTATACGTATTATGAAAGATCGCCACCATCATGTTTCTTAGTCTCTATACAGTGTACCCCCTTCGGGTGGTGGATCGCCACCCATTTTGCATGTGTTGTTTCCTCTTTTAGTTTTCGAACCATCCCCCACATGTCTTCTTCGCTACTCTTCCCACATATTCTAATGATCTTTTTGTTCCTATATTCTTCGTTTCCGCTAGACCTTCGTTTACTCGTCTGTTTAAGTATCTCGTAATCTTCCGTTGAGTGAACCAACTCCGGGTATCTGGTCCTATACATTCCCTGTTCCATATTTGGGTCTTCCAGTCCAGTGTCCTTTGTCCCCAGGGGGGTGTTCCCCTTTCTTACCTCTCTATTAGTGTATAGGATGTCGTCCCAATCTTGTTCGGTTATCCCTTGCCACTTTTGGTACGTGTCAATTCCTTCGATAGTCTCTATTCTTTTTCTTCGGGTTAGGTCTTCTCTCTCTTTCTGTAACTGTTTTATTTTTTGTTCTGCTTCTCCAAGTTTTCTCTTCTAGCTCCGCTATTTTGTTCTCCAGTCCTTCTATTTTGCTTTTACTCTCCTCTTCATTGCTGCTAATGTTTACTTAGTTTTCTATATGATATGTGATTTTTTCTATTGTTTTCCACTTGTAGGTTTCTAGTTACTTTGTTTATTGAAGCTCTACTGAATACACTCGGGTTCCTATTAATTTTTTGTGATAGTTTCTTTAACCTATTTGGCGGGTTGTATGTTTTCTTTATATTATTCTCGGACTCCTGTGACCTAACCTGACCTAGCTTGACCTGACCTGACCTGACCTGACTTTTTTTCCCAAGGGGAGGAGGGGAAACCTTCAAAAGGCTCCCAGCGGGAAAATATTCCGTTCCGCGGGGGAGTGTGGGATTCTGACCTCACCAAAACCCCTCCCCTTTACTTCTAGGCCCTGGTACCGTTTATCACTTATCATCAAAGGGCTGCGTCAAATTTCTTATCTAGAATCTTCTACCTTCCGCGTCCGGATAGGAATTGGCACATTTGGTAGCTTACTTAACGTTTCCAAATAGCCTATGTATCCATCTTCCCTTCGTGGTGCTTTCCCATTCCTCTTGTCGTTTGATGAGGGTTATTTCCCGAGATTTAAGCCTTCAGTTTTGTGAGTTATCGAGTCTATGTATAGCTCTTTTCTTTCTTCAGCTAGTATATGTATCGAGGTCATTCCTGCAATGACTATGGCTGCGTTATAGTAGATCACTCTAAAGGCTCCATATATGCGTAAGGCCATTACTCGTTGGGTGGATTTCATTATATCCTTATATTTTTTAATTTGCATCGCTCTTTGCCAAATCGGTGCTTCATAGAGTAAGATCGATTGTACCGCCATTTACAGCATTTTTCTCTTTCTCATTTTCAGTCCTCGTATATTCGGTGTTAAGCACTCCACAGCTCTTGCAGTTGCCCTAGCTTTTTTTTGTTACGGTTAACACATGTTTACCCAATGTCAATTTTCGGTCGATAACCATCCCAAGGTATTTGATGCTTCCACTAGGTATTATTTTGTGTTCTTCCAACCCGAATTTTATATATTCTGTTTTCCTCTTGGAATTAAATATTATTGCCTCTATTTTTTCGTTGGCAATTTGCAGTTTGTTGATGGTCATCCATAGTTTGACCTTTCTTAAGGTTACGTTTCCTTTAGACATCAACTGTTCTTTTGATTGCCACAGCTAGGTCGTCGGCGTAGCATATCAGTGTGGTTCCATCAGGGACATCGATTTTCATGATGTCGTCATAAGTATAGGATGTTCCCTAAGGTCGGACCTATCACCGATCCTTGTGGCACTCCCTTTCCTATCTCCAATATGGAGTGTTTTTATCTATTTGTACTTTCCTTTTGTTAAGATAGTTTTGATGGTGTTCACTAAATATTCGGAAATTTCTCTTTTTTGTAGTTTACCGATTATCAATTTCCAGTCCGCTGTATTCAATGCGTCTTGGACGTCTATCAAAATGAGAGCACACCATTCCGGTGTGCCGGTTTTATTATTTCATTTTGCGATCCTTATCACTTTTTCTATGCATATTGGATTTCTTGCAGCCCACCCCCCTCATTAATCTTTTCATTTAGCCTTTTCTTAATCAGATTTTCATAAACTTTGCCCAGAGAGCTGACAAGACACATTGGTCTATATATACTTCTTTGGTTGTTTCCTTGACTGCCTCTTAGGTTTTTCTATTGGTACTAGTTTTGTTTTCTTCCATATATCCGGGAATTTATCCATTCTCAACACGCTATTGAATAATTTTTTGTAGAAGTTGACCTCGCCGATTCTTTGATAATCTCTGGTGGAAAGATGTCTGGTCCTGGGGCCTTACCTAGTTTTATCTTAATACAAGCATCTGTAGGTAAGCGAAGAAAAATGTTGCTGCGTCGGTGGGAATCCACACGCCCCCCGCTTGTCGGGCAGGTATCCTGACCACTAGACCACGAGGCCGCTTACCTTTCTTCGCTTACTACTACTTATTATTGTGTCGCCACACATCTATAATTTCTTGTATTTGGAAGAGTTTGTGGTTCGCGGAGATCTACATCCAGGCAGTCCTTCGTTTTCAACACAAAGAGTTCTTTAGAGATCCTTGTACTCTCCGCCTAACCTGACCTGATCCATTTTAACAGATCACAGGTTACAAAATAGGTGGTTCACAAATTCTAGAATGCAGTAATCTTTGATTAATGTGATATTACAGACATAAAAATTGTTTCTAAAAAAACGCCGTGACATGCACAAGGTATGGCGACTTTCGTTTGAAAACTAACAATATAAAAAGCAAAATTTACCCATTTTAACGTCAGTTTGTTAAAAATTCTTACAAAATAATAAAAATGGAAGTTTAGAAATGTTACTTATTAATTAATTTACTAAATTGGTTAATTTTCTATACCACTGTATATAACGAAAACTTAAAATTTTCATAACGTTTGAATAACAGTAAAGTTGCAAATTAAACAAAACTATTTTAGTTGTAAAGTTATCTTAGGTTACATTTTGTATGTGCCAATTTAAACTTCATAATCAGCGCATGGAAACAATTTCCTAGAATTCGTGGAATGACCCGGGAACTTTTAGCCCATTACCCGAGCTTGATTAACTTTAGTTCATGTTTATTTGCTAGGGAAACAAGTTCCTCAATAATCGTTCCTATGCGGTCAACTGCCGATTAAAATTTAATCATACTCGATGCAAACACACTTTTATGTTATCATTCCTATGACAAAGTCGTAAAATTTGTTGACTTTGTCACTGTTGATTGCTCGCAATGCCCAAACTGACTCTTTCAGGTTTTGGATTAATAAGAGTAAAACTGTAGAAAAAGCAATGGACTTTTTTGTAGTTAATTTATTATCTGCTTGTTTACGTGTTATATATTTATTTTAGGGTTAACGAGAAAAAAATTATTGCTCGGAAATACGAAAACAATTAGGGTTGTAGTCCATTTAATAAACTGATAACGTCATTCCCAAAAATCATTAATTAAATCTTTATTAAAAATTTCGCCTTGATATATGCTGTTCATACTTCAAAAGTATTCTTTCATTTTTCTGTAAGTTGTAGTATTTTGAAATTTCTAAATCACAAATAAACTTTTCAAAATACATGTTTGGATCTGAAATCATTTTTGGTTGGACTTGTGCCCGATTTCTATCGATTGTCAATATTAGTTTTCCACGAAGTTTCCCACTCTGTTTTATTTTCAGTCCATGATATTATCAACACAGTAAACTTGAAAAGTTTAGGGACCAAGTTCAACAATAGCCACTGCAAGTGGTTCTAAAATTTTTAAAATTGTTCGCTTACATTTTTCGCGACTTACTTCAGTTATTTCAGCTAAATTAAACATTCAATTTCAAACACATTCTTAATATTTTTAGTTAAAGTTTTAACTTACGCACATTCGTAGCCTGCAGACTTTAATAATTTTAATTAATCAAAATTGTAAATCAGTTGATGTAGCTCCAACGCTGTTACAAGTTTTATGTTTAATATTTTCAGCGAACTCTGCCCTTAATAACGTTTTTTTTTTCAAACTGACCTTCAACGACGATTTAATTTTAAAATAAATGAGAAATTACGTCAGACGGTTCATCTACAAAGTGCATCCATTTAGACATTAAAAATTTGTGAGTCGGAAATTTCGTGTGTATTTTCCAATATTTAGTCTAACACTGAACAAACAAAAATTTTTATTAAGTAAATAAAAATCCATGTTCACATCAGCTCACGCATATTAAAAACAAAGGTATCCTATTCTCCATTTAGATCTTCTAAATGAAAATGGAAAATAAAAATACACATTAAAGCAGAGTAAATTCAAGAAAAATATGCCAGAGAGTTCATAAATTTTAATTTCCGGGAACAAGGACTATAAGTGCGTTTGTTATGTAAATGAGTCAGCTTTTGTAACATAAGTATAAACAAAACATTAATTGTACGAGGAAAATGCAAAAACAAAGTCGTGTTTATAATAGACATACCTTTCGAACATGTCGCAGCACTTACTTTGTGAATGACCTATATTCTACATTATACTATCAACATTAATCGTGTTGTTACTTTTACTTAAAAATATGTTCGCTGGGTATATAAGTATGTATGAATACGATTAAAAAAAATGAAACTAGTGATGGTTGTGATTTTACAGCTCCAGTTGACAAGCTGAAATTAACTGTCATGTTGACGTATTGAACATGTTCTTCAAATAATTGTAACCTCAAAACACGTCGACAGAATAACGTCCCGGAATTGCCAATTACAATTTTAATATCGCAGCCAGCACAGATTCCATTTTTTCCAATCGACGATCTACACTACTTTTCCCTTTTTTTTACTCCAACAAATCCAGCTCATATGTCGTACGTTTATTTACCACCCCAACACTCCCCTTTCAAAGGTGAACGCCATATATCAAGATCCATCCCTCGAGGCCAATATGCATCTAGTAGTGACGCGTTTATTACTTTACGAGCATCGGAAGCAATCGGTCGTACGTGCCGGTGACGCAAAGAAATCTCTCGAAAACGTCAATAGCTGGAACAACCGCCTGCATATGTCTTTAGCACGAGGGGAACGTCACCACGATGTTGCTATATGGCTGACTCGTTCAGATATTGGAGGTCCCTCAGGCTATGCTCCCGTTGCCGGGGCCTGCGATCCAAAAAGGAGTTGCGCCTTGAACCGAGATGAGGGTTTGACGAGTGCTTTCATCATTGCTCATGAAATGGCTCACATGTAAGTTTTATGAAAAGTAGTTAGATGGAAATGTTCAAAGTTGTGTTCCACATGGTGACTGCCGGTTTATTGTATCAGTATTTTGCTGATAGAGTTGGGTTTAGTTTAGGAATATAGGGGTTTTGCGTATCTAAAATAGGTCGGCATTTTACTACTTATTCAATTTTATTTATTTATTTAATAATAATAATTAGTTATCCGCATCCTAGTTTTACCGTTAAGTGTCTTCTCTAATTTTTTATTGTCCTTTAGGAACCATCCTATATTTTTAGTTCATATCTTTTTTGGTTTTCTTCTTTCGTTCTTCTTATCCCACCCCTCCATAAGTAAGACATAAGCGGGAGACTATTGTGATACTGAGTTTAGATCTAATTGCAATTTAGTTGGATAGAATAACTTTAGATCATCTGGATAGAAAGACAATCGAAAATATTGAATCTGTAAAGGTAGACAGCCCCCAGTTGACAGACATACATATATGGAAAATCGAACAAACACAAAAACCCTATACATATGTAAAATGGATGGCTGCCCCCGAGTCGCTATAAGAGTGTGGCGCTCGAACTATTTATCAATTTCATTCTAGAGCACAGCAAAATTACTACATAGATTGCGTTATAGCACGAACGGAGCTTGGGGCTTCTGGTTTTGGCTGTTCTCCTAACCACGACCGCTCCCCTCACTTCTATTCAGGATCTGCTTCTTTTGTGCAGAAGGCGCGACCGCCAGCTCGACTAGGAACCACGTCCTTCACTTTCGCCACGTGTTTCTGTGTTATCTACCCCAATTCCCTTTTAAATGATCACTTTCTATAACTCTGATATTAAACTACAACCGAACAAGTGTTAAAGTTTCAAAAGAACAATAAACAACATTAAAATTCGCCATACACTCTCGCAAAATTTTTAATCAACAAAATATTTACATGGAAAAAACTAACAAAGATTTATAAACACAAAAAAGGTCTGGTGTGAAGTAAAAACTTGTGCTGAGAAAAAAATTACATGAGATTAGGAACTGTAGGGCATGAAAATTTAGGTTCAGTTTAAATTATACAGCAAAGAAAATTACAGAGGCTAAAATTGTGAGATTCTCCTATCCTACCCCCGACTGCTCCCCGCTTCTATTCAAGATCTGCGCCTTTTGTGCAGAGGGTGCGACCGCCAGCTCGACTAGGAACCGCGCCCTCCGCTTCCGCCACATGTTTCTGTGTTATTTACCGCAATTCCCTTTTAAATGTTCACTTTCTACAACTCTGATATTAAACTACAACCGAACAAGTGTCAAAGTTTCAAATGAACAATAAACAACATTAAAATTCACCATACACTCTCGAAAAATTTTTAATCGACAAAATATTTACGTGGAAGAAAACTAACAAAGATTTATAAACACAAAAACAGGTCTGGTGTGAAGTAAAACTTGTGCAGAGAAAAAAATTACATGAGATTAGGAACTGTAGAGCATGAAAATTTAGGTTCAGTTTAAATTATACAGCAAAGAAATGTGCAGAGGCTAAAATTGTGAGATTCTTCTATCCTACCCCCGACTGCTCCCTGCTTCTATTCAAGATCTGCGTCTTTTGTGCAGAGGGCGCGACCGCCAGCTCGACTAGGAACCGCGCCCTCCGCTTACGCCACGTATTTCTGTGTTATTTACTCCAATCCCCTTTTAAATCTTCACTTTCTATAACTCTGATATTAAACTACAACCGAACAAGTGTTAAAGTTTTAAAAGAACAATGAACAACATTAAAATTCGCCATACACTCTCGAATAATTTTTAATCAACAAAATATTTGCATGGAAAAAAACTAACAAAGATTTATAAATACAAAAAAGTCTAGTGTGAAGTAAAACTTGTGCAGAGAAAAAAAATACATGAGGTTAGGAACTGTAGAGCATGAAAATTTAGGTTCAGTTTAAATTATACAGCTAAGAAAAGTGCAGAGGCTAAAATTGTGGGATTGTCCTATCCTACCCACGACTGCTCCCCGCTTCTATTCAAGATCTGCGTCTTTTGTGCAGAGGGTGCGACCGCCAGCTCGACTAGGAATCGCGCCCTCCGCTTCCGCCACGTGTTTCTGTGTTATTTACCGCAATTCCCTTTTAAATGTTCACTTTCTACATCTCTGATATTAAACAACAACCGAACAAGTGTCAAAGTGTCAAAAGAACAATAAACAACATTAAAATTCACCATACACTCTTGCAAAATTTTTAATCAACAAAATATTTACGTGGAGAAAAACTAGCAAAGATTTATAAATACAAAAAAAGGTCTGGTGTGAAGTAAAACTTGTGCAGACAAAAAGAATACATTAGGTTAGGAACTGCAGAGCATGAAAATTTAGGTTCAGTTTAAATTATACAGCAAAGAAAATTACAGATTCAAAAATTGGGAAATTCTCCTATCCTACCCCCGACTGCTCCCTGCTTCTATTCAAGATCTGCGTCTTTTGTGCAGAGGGTGCGACCGCCAGCTCGACTAGGAACCGCGCCCTCCGCTTCAGCCACGTGTTTCTGTGTTATTTACCGCAATTTCCTTTTAAATGTTCACTTTCTATAACTCTGATATTAAACTACAACCAAACAAGTGTCAAAGTTCCAAAAGAACAATGAACAACATTAAAATTCCCCATACACTCTCGCAAAATTTTTAATCAACAAAATATTTACGTGGAAAAAAAACTAACAAAGCTTTATAAACACAAAAAAGGTCTGGTGTGAAGTAAAACTTGTGCAGACAAAAAAAAATACGTGAGGTTAGGAACTGTAGAGCATGAAAATTTAAGTTCAGTTTAAATTATATAGCAAAGAAAAGTGCAGAGACTAAAACTGTGAGATTCTCCTATCCTACCCCCAACTGCTCCCCGCTCCTATTCAAGATCTGCGTCTTTTGTGCAGAGGGTGCGACCGCCAGCTCGACTAGGAACTGTGCCCTCCGCTTCCGCCACATGTTTCTGTGTTATTTACCGCAATTCCCTTTTAAACGTTCACTTTGTACAACTCTGATATTGTTCGGTCCAGGCAGGTAGACCGAAGGAGAAGGGGTGCAGCAGACTCCACCCTCTCACCCACCACCACCACTTGTAAATATGTACATTTAAATAGCATTAGATTCGAATAAATCGTCAAGCGAAAAGGTCGTGTCTCACTGAAACTATATTTATAGTTTCAACAACATCATTTTGGTCATCCATTGTGACCCCATCATTTTTTGGTCATCCATTGTGACCAACATTTGTGGTCACCCATTTGTGACCGCTGGTCCTTCGAGCAAATACAAAAACCTTCCGTTAGGTCACCCACTTATGACCTAACATTGGTACTACGAACCGAGTCGTCACAATTTCCGTCAGGTCACCCAATTATGACCAAACATTTGGTCCTTCGAGCCGGATCGTCATCCAGTGTTACGTAATCGAAGTGTCGAAGTAAAGTGGCTCAGCATCAAGTCAGACAAGTGTGGTCTGAGCTGTATTCCGCGGACAACGAGATCCAGGACACACACAAGCGAGGGTACAAGGACGTAAAGGTAGGAATCTATATCTATCTACTTTGTACTGCATTTCCTCATACGCAATAAAAAAAAAAAAACATGACTAACGAAACAAACGACGCGTTAAAAACATTAGTAACTAAACGGGGAATAATCAAGGGTTCGGTTACTCGAATTAAAACATTCGTGGATAAATTTAGGGCAGGCGATGATATCTATCAATTAAAAACTAGGCTACCGAATCTCCAAAATGCATTCAAGGAATTTGATGCCATACAGCGGGATATCGAATTATTAAAGTGCGATACCGAGGAACAAACATGCGAGCGCGATGAATTCGAAAATCGGTATTATGATTTAGAAGCAAGGATCCTAAAGTTAATCGAGTCGCGTGTTACAGAACCTATTCCTTCAACGTCTAATACTAATAACGACAATAATCAGGCGCGTTTAAATCCAGTTAGACTGCCGTCATTAGAATTACCCATATTTTCGGGATCATATTTAGAGTGGACAGCATTTTCAGATATTTTCAAGTCATTAATCCATGACAGTAGATTATATAGTGATGTTGAAAAGCTGCATTATTTGAAATCGTGCCTCAAGGGTGACGCACATAAAACAATCGAGGCCATAAAAGTATCAGAGGCAAATTACAAATCAGCATGGGACCTGTTAGAAAAAAGGTTCAACAATAAGCGTTTGATTGTCCAAGAGCATGTTTTGGCAATCATTAATTCCCCAAATTTAGTCAAAAATTCAGCCGTGGCCATGCGTAAATTATTGGACGACATATTAACAAATATTGCGGAATTAAAAAATGTAGGTATACAAGTTCAACAATGGGACGCGCTAATTGTACCACTTATCACATTGAAATTTGATTTTGTTACAAAGAGGGATTGGGAGTGTACATTGGATACCAATGTTCCAACATTAGACGAATTAATTACATTTTTGACAAAGAAAACCACATTATTAGAATCGTTAATTGCTGGAGAATCTCAGTCTCATGCAAAACACTCAGTTCATTCAAATTTAAAGAATAATTTCAGAGCGTCTAATCATTCTAATAAAGCACCTGTTACGTGTAATGCTACCTTCATTAAGGAAGGACATCAAATTGAATGTTTTTTATGTAAACAAGAACATGCGTTATATCAGTGTCTCGAGTTTTTGAAATTACCAATAACAGATCGCTGGAATCAAGTCAAAAGGTTTAAATTATGTACAAACTGTTTTAAGCGTAATCATCAAACTGATAAATGCAGAGGTAGGACTTGCAAATATTGTAATAAAAAACACAATTCTTTATTGCATACGGAAACTCAAAGTACCGATCCCGAACCCAGTCAATCTGTCATTGTCTCACACGTAAAAAACGATGAATCTTCAATGGTTTTATTGACTACAATGCAGGTTTTAATTCAAAATCAGTTTAATGAGTGGATCGTATGTAGGGCGCTATTAGACATGGGGTCGCAGTCCAACTTTATTAC